GACTTATATATAGTAAGATAGCTTTGTGGGAGAAGTAGCAAACCTTGATATGAAATATTAACCACCATAATGATGTTCAGGTCAGGGAGGTAAGGGGAATGTCCACGAGAACACATTTAGAGAATTACAGATTCTCTTTTTCAACATCTCTTTTTCTTGCACTTGACTTCACACACCCGTCTGTTGGCCTTGCTCAGGCCAATCTATGGACAGTCAATGGGCGGAGCCAGAGCCTAGCGGTTGGAAGGTGTTAGGTTCCCCCAGGACGCCTAATTACTAGCTCCGGGGAGAAGCGGCGAGGCTTTGGGAACTTCTGCTACTCCGCCCAGATTTTTTTTTCTTACATTCTTTTTGCAGATTCTATTGAGAAACAATCCAAGATACGAAAAATGGACAAAGCCACAACCCGATGCCTACGGTAAATGTAGAACGCATCTTCAACAAATTTTGGTCACGACTTTTGAGAAAGCAATTCGCGACATCGTAGAAAAGAGTATATCCTCCGCGACTTTTGAAACATTTTAATATCGTAAATCCTTGTTCACCAGTTTCATTGCTTTTGCAACCATCACCTTCCTCTGGGTAGCAGCTTACTTTGGAGCTGAGGAGTCTCATTAATCAAAACTAATACGCTCACTTCCGATTGTCGCAAAATATCTACTCTTTGTTGTAAGTACGATTTTGGCTTTAAACAAAGGTCAAATCAAGAAAAAATCCCGTCAAACTTGACTGTTCCAGGCGCTTGTTTTTACCTTCTTCTGAAGTAACTACAAGTTTAGTAGTGACGTGATGTTCCCATAAGTTGCATATTAATCGTATAGTGACGGCCTTATTCGATCATTCGTCCAGAGGTTTCTCTGCCATCTTCGTTTGAGAGCTGCGATGCTTTGTTTGAAAGGCAACCCACTAACAAATTTCAGGTAGACCTCTTTTAGCACATCAATTGTGATTTTTCATTTTTAGGCAAACTGATTGAATGTGATCATAATCTTAATCTGAGGATTCAAAATGCTATAGTGATTCGAGCACGAGAAGCATTCCGGTTTGAAGAATTTTTTGTTCGCGGTCGACATCTGAGGTGATTTTAAGAACTCTTACATTCTGTTTGCCATTCGTGTAACTTAACAAGGACCTACAGATATGTGCACCTTGAACATGCCGTTGACATCGGTAAGGTCATTTGTAAAACAAAAGCACCGTATCGACCAAAAGGGACAATGTCAAAAAAGACTGTCATAACCAAAAAGGAAGGCTAGCCTTTATTTTCTGCATTTCTGAGTTTTTCAAACATACTCAAATATGAATAAATGGTTCAACAACAAAGATGTAACAAATAAGCGCAATGAAAATCAACAACAAGATATACAGGGTAAAAATAAGTCAAACTCAACAAAAAAAGTACTAACAAACAATAAACAACCACAAGCGTCATACGGAATTTGTCCTTACTGTCATTTCAAACCATTGTCGTATAGATTCTGTCAAAACAGAGGGGAGTTGCACAATTTTTTTGATGATAGTATAAAATGGGAACGGAAAGACTGCTAAATATGGAGTCAGTACCTGAAAAAGAATTTGATCATCCCGAGCACACTAAGCATCAAATTATCAAGCGCATTACGACGTACCACATCTCCTCCTTTAAATGAAGCTACTGATAAATCGCAGATTGATTTTGGTCCTGAATCAAGTATCACGAACAGTACAGTTACTCCTTGCAATGCTGACAGAGCGGCCTTGACCTGCAAACAACGAAAACGAATCGGAAGCAGGAAAGGTGAAATAAAAAGAAGGAATGTCTATGACTGAACTCATCTCTGGTCAAAGCGAAAAAAACCAAAACTTCTACCTATTATGTGAATTTCTACTTATACTAAGATGAAGAAAGTCCCGTTAAGAAAGTCCTATTTTTTAATTTTGATTAATTCACTGATCCTATTGGTAAATCCAGTGAACACCTTCCAATGTTTCTTTTTGGCTAAACCGGTATGTTATCATGTTTGCTAAAATCCTATTAGATTTGAAGACTTTCTGTCAGTTTTCTCCACTCCAGTCACTCTCAGAATATTGTAGTACTTTTCCTTTTTGT